TAATCTCTCCCTAGATGAACTTCAAAGTTCTTTGTTGGTCCATGAACAAAAGATGAACAGAAGTTCAACAATGAAGGAACAAGCATTGAAGGCTTCTACCAATACTCCTTCATACAACTCTAGAGGAATGGATAGAGGTAGAGGTAGAGGACGAGGGCGTGGAGGTCGTGGAAATAGAGATTTCAACAAGAACTCTAGAGGCAACAATGACCAATTTCAAGGCAATGATAGAGGGAGAGATCATAATAAATCAAAGGTAGAATGCTTTAGATGTCATAAATTTGGTCATTATGCTTTTGAATGTTATACTAGACTGCCTAATCTTAAAGAAAAGGGTGAAAGTTCAAATTTTATCGAGGAGAAAGAAGTAGAAACCCTGTTGATGGCAATTGAAGATGCAAAAAATAGCGAGGCAGAAATTTGGTATGTTGATACTGGCTGTAGTAATCACATGAGTGGAAGTAAGTCATCTTTCTCATATTTAAATGAAAATTTTCACTCTACCGTGAGCTTTGGTGATTGCTCTACTATGAAAGTGATGGGAAAAGGTGATATAAAAATAAAAACCAAGAATGGTTTTGTAGAAACAATTTCTAATGTGTTTTATGTCCCTGACTTGAAAAGCAACTTGTTAAGTGCTGGTCAATTACAAGAAAAAGGTTATGAAATTTTTATTAGCAAAGGTTCTTGTGAAATTATTGATCCTGTTCGAGGTGCTATTGCAGTTGTAATCATAAGTTCAAACAGGCTATTTCTGTTGAAAATTGAAACATTCAATCTGGTTTTTTTGGGGTGTCGCTATGGGCCATAGCGACACCCAATAAAAGAGCCACAAAGGTGTAAAATATTTCAAAACAGCCACATTTTAGTAATAAATTTCTAATAGTACCCCACAATGGTCATGTAGCCATAAAAATTGTTACTTCTAATTAATTATGTAAGCTATTTATAACTTTTAAAATATTTATCTCACCCAAATTAAGGATTTGTGTAATTTTTTTTTATTTATATAATTATACCTTTAAAAAAAATAAAGATAAAATAATTAATTATATTTTGTTTCTATATTTCTTTGAATTCTTTTACTCTTCTATTCTATTACATGTAAGTTATTTTTTTATTTTTATTCTCTAACCTTCACTTTATCTATAATTATTAATGTATAACTATTAATGAAAGAAATACATTTTAAATAACATCTTTTGTCTTCATTTTTTTTAACATTTTTACACATTCAGTTATAAAATAACTTCTTATGAGTAAAGGGTAAAATGGAAAAAATATTTATAAAAAAAAATGTACTTATTTGTGAAATTGTTACACGAATTCTACTTCTCAAATACTTATAACTTTTCTCTAATTCATTATTTTTTTAATAGAGAAATATAAAGTATCTTGTTTTTTTGGCTTTTTGACCAAAGTGGGGTTGTTTGACAAGTTATTTACGTAAATGAGGCTCTTTTGAAAGTATTTACGCCTTTGGGGCTGTTTACAACGGTGTTGTTATGAGCCATAGCGACACCCGCGACACGTGGCTTATTTTTTTTGTGTTCGAATGAGCCACATTGGTGTCGCTATAGGCTGCGCCACCACAGTTGATGACCTAACGAAAATGATGTAGCCCATAGCGACACTGTATAAAAAAAAAAAATGAAAATAATAGAAATGTAAAAATAAAAATAATAAACTGACTTGGTTATTATATATTTATAAAACTAAAATTAACTTCTGCACAAATTTAATTATAAATTAAATTATATTAAATTTTTTTAAGTGGCGCTATGGCCTATAGCGACACTGTGTCGCTA